TGATCAGTGATCTTGATACTGCTATTGTAATAGTTTTGGAGTGCCACAAACTGAGCCCATAAGAGATGGTAAACTGAATGGACAAATGTGTATGTTCTCACTAGTTCCCCGACTGACAATTCCTGTCTGTCCCTCTCCTTGGGCCACTGTATTCCCTGAGACCCAACAATATTGAAATTAGGACAATTAATATCCCTACATTGGCCTCTGAGTGTTCAAGTAAAGGAAGTGTTGCATATTTCTCACTTCAAATAAAAAACTAGGAAAGATTAAACTTAGTGAGGAAGTCATGCTAAAAATGGCTAAAAGTTATGCCAGTAGTGCCACACAGTTGGTTAAGCTGTGAATGCAAAGGAAAAGTTTTTGAAGGAAGTTAAAAGTTCTATCCCAGTAAGCGTGTGAATGATAAGAAAGCAAAACAGCCTTATTGGTGATACGGGAAGAGCTTTCATGGTCTAGACAGATTAAACCAGCCACAACATTCTCTTAAGGCAAAACCTGATCCAGAGCAAAATGCTAACTGTCTTCAATTCTAGGAAAGCTGAGAGAGATGAGGAAGCTGCAGAAGAAAAGTTAAAAGCTAGCAAAGGTTGGTTGGTGAGGTTTAAGGAAAGAAGCCATCTTCATGACATGAAAGTGCAAAGTGAAGCATCAAGTGCTGATGTAGAAGCTGCAGCAAGTTATCCAGAAGGTCTGCTAAGATCGGTGACTTAGGTGAATACACAAAACAACACATTTTTCATGTAGATTAAATTGTCTTCTATTGGCTGAAGATGCCACATAGGAATTTCACAACTAGAGAGGGGATGCCTAGCTTCAAAGGACAGCCCGACTCTCTTGTTAAGGCGTAATGCAGCTGGTGACTTGAAGTCATGTCTGTTTACCATTCCAAGAATCCTAGGGCCCTTAGGAATTATACTAAATCTACCCTGCCTGTGCTTTATAAATTGGACAACAAAGCTTGGATGACAGCACATCAGTGTTTATAGCATGGTTTACTGAATATATTAAGTTCAACGTTAAGACCTACTGCTCATTAAACAAGATTCTTTTCAAATTATTACTGCTCATTGACATTGCCGCTGGATCACCCAAGAGGCCTGATAGCAATGTTCATCATGCCTTCTCTATTAAGCTGTTCTTGCATTACTGTAAGTAAATACCTGAGACTAGGTAATATATAAAGAAAAGAGGTTTAATTGGCTCATGGTTCTGCAAGCTGTACAGGAAATAGTGCTGGCATTGGCTTCTTGGGAAGTCTCAGAGAACTTTAACTCATGACAGAAGGCAAAGCAGGAGCAGGCACATCACATAGCAAAAGCAGAAGGAAGTAAAAGAAAGAGGAGGGGTGAAGGTGCCACACACTTTTAAATGACCGGATTTGTGAGAACTGTCATGGAGACAGCACCAAGCCATGAGGGTTCTGCCCCTATGATCCAAACACCTTCCAGCAGGCCCCACCTCCAGCATTGAGGATTACAGTTCAGCATGAAATTTGGGCTGGGACAAATATCCAGACTGTAGTACCTTCTAACACAGCATCCACCCTCTATCCTCTCTATCCCATCAATCAAGGTTGGAAGGCTCTGATTGCCATAGATAGTGATTCCTCTGATGGATCTAGGAAAAGTGGATTGAAAATCTTCTGGAAAATATTCACCATTCTAGATGCCATTAAGAAGATTTGTGATTTATGAGAGGAGGTCAAAGTATCATCATTAATAAGAGTTTGGAAGAAGGTGATTCCACCCCTCATGGATGACTTTGAAGGGTTCAAGACGTCAGTGGAGGAGGTCACTGTAGATGTGACATCAGCTAGAGAACTAGATTTAGAAGAAAAACCTGAAGATGTGACTGAAACTGCTGCATGATAAAACTTGAATGGATGAAGAGTAACTTCTTAGGGAAGAGCAAAGAGAGTGGTTTCTTGAAATGGAATCTCCTCCTGGGGGAAGATACTGTGAACATTGTTGAAATGACAACAAAGGATTTAGAATATTACATACACTTAGTTGATAAAACAGCAGCAAGGTTTGAGAGGACTGACACCAATTTTGGAAGCAGTTCTACTGTGAGTAAAATGCTATCAAACAACATTGCATGCCACAGAGAAATATCTCATGAAAGGTTGAGTCAGTTGATATGGCAAACTTTACTGTTGACTAATTTTAAGAAATTGCCACCTTGACCTTAGGCATCCACCTTGCTGATTAGTCAGCAACCATCAACATCAAGGCAAAACTCTCTACCAGCAAAACGTTTAACTCAAGGCTCAGATGATTATAAGCATTTTTTATCAATAAAGTATATTTAATAAAGGTATGTATATTATTGTCTTAGATATAATGTTATTGCACACTTAATAGACTACAGTGTAGTGTAAATATAATTGTTATATATTTTAGAGACAGGGCCTCACTGTTTCCCTGGCTGGAGTGCAGTGGCATGATCATGGCTCACTGCAGCCTCAAACTTCTGTGTTCAAGCAATCCACCCACTTCAGCCTCCTGAGTAGCAGGGACTACAGGCACACTCCACCATGCCTGGCTAATTTTTATTTTATTTTTTTGTAGAGACAGGATCTCACTATGTTACCCAGGCTGGTCTTGAACTCCTAGCCTCAAGCAGTCCTCCTGCCTCAGCCACCCAAAGTACTGGGATTACAGGCGTGAGCCACCATGCCTGTCCTAAACATAACTTTCGTATGCACTAAGAAACCAAAGCATTAGTATGACTTGCTTTATTTGCTCTACTGCAGTGGTCTGGAACCAAACCTGCAGTATCTCTGAGGTACACCTGTAAAGTAAAGCATGAAGGAAAAGCATAAAGTTTGATTTTTCACATTTGTATTTCTCTGCCACATCCAGGGGTCCAAGTTTTTAGTTGTTAGAAAATGCTTTTGAAAAGGAAAAAATGGGAGATAAGAAGGAGAGAAAGAAGAAAGAAGAGCCTTGAATCAGAGGAAATGCACCTGTTCTTTTTTTGGGCTAGGTTTAAGTTTCATAATTAGCAAATTACTAACACAGCCAAGTGCTTTCTGATCTAATGCATCTTGGACTGAGACATGATTTAGCAGTGTTAATTCCTTGTAGTAAGGGATAGACTTTCCTGTTTTGTTTTGTTTTGTTTTTCATTTGGAAAGAATGGAATACTCTTCATGTACACAGAGTGATCCTAGCCTCTATCAGAAAGAAAGGTAAGATTGTGACGTATAAGGGTCAATGTAAAGGGCTAGCAGGTTAGCAGAGAACATATGAAATGTTCAGGCTTTATGTGCTCATCATGGATAGCTGTTTAAGCTACCTCAAACTCACAGACTTCCATTACAGATGATCGTGGGTTGTAGATTTGTTGTTCTTGAGAAACTGTAGAACTCCAGTCAGAACTTGATTGCAGAGAAAGTTTGGAACTCTTGTTTGGGAGGTATCCTCTGTCTTAAAAAGCCTATTGGGAATAATTATGATCCTAATGATTACCACTCACATTTTTGGTCTCTGTTATTTTGGAGCATTAAACAATGGGAAATATCCTTCTAAATCTTATGGGACTCCAGGCATATGGGGAAGGAAAAATGAGGGAATTTAACTAACTTTGTTAGACTTATTTGCTGCTGAGACAGAAATTCTGTGAATTTACTTCCTTTGTGCTTAACTTTAGGAAATTTTATAAAGAAATCTGGACTGGTTGGTTGTTTTCTAAAATATATCTGGTCAAAAAACTGCAGTACTTTTCTTGGGTCTGAAATCCAACCTCTTCTTTTCTTCCAAGATTATTGTATAGAGTGAACATTTTAAGTTATCCGAAGTTATTTAAATTCGTGGAAGTCATCATGTAAAGAGGAAATAGTCCTGGATATTTTAAAAAAATAGAAATTGTTCTTATTGCACTTTTGCAATGTTTTTAGGGCGAGATTTGTCTAGTATTTATCTAGTTTTCAAGAATGAAAAAGAAACTTATTTCCTTGGGAGAGCTATGTATTGAGATATTTTGTATTTGTTGTTCCCTAATCCTCTTTATTAAAAGATTAAAGAATACTTGAATAGATGAAATAAATATTTAGAGAAGACAAAAAGACTAAAATCTGAATAATAATCTTTGAGAAGAGTTGGGCTTCCTTTCCACAGAGCATGTCTAAGTGGTCACCATTGCTTACCCTTTGCTCAGATGGTCAGAAACATGGATTAGAGCTTGATTCTATTTTCATCAGATTCTTCCACCAGGGCCGTAGAGGATCATGGAGTGGAAATGTTATGGCCGCGCAGTAGTCACTTCTTTGTTTCTTCCTTTCTCTCTCTGTCTGTCTCTCTTTATCACTCTCTCTTTCTCTCTGTGTGTGTGTGTGTGTGTGTGTGTGTGTGCGTGTGTGTGTACTTTCAAAAATTATATACACAGTATTTCATCATTTCGTGTTGGGAGGCAGTTTTCTTTTGCATTTCTGCGCATCTTGTGAACAGAGGCACTGTATTTTTGGACACTCTTTTCAAGGATGTTTGCATCGCAAACCTTGAATGTTAGTGTCTCCCTCTAGAACAAAGGACAGATTTGCTTATTCTTCTGTATAATAAAGATAATGTCTCCCTCAGGAACAAGGGCAAGCATATTTATAAAAGATTCAAGTTTCCTGAGCTTAGAGTCCCTTTCCTGTAATGCAGCACATTGAGTGAGCAGATATTACCTGGCCCTCTTCACATAGCTCTCTTGGGAATTATAGTTCAGTGAACTGATACAAATGTTAATATTCTGACTACTGCTATTGATGTGATTGCTAACCTCTCCTTTGTCTCTGACCTGGGAGTCTCATGTTATCTTCAGGACACATGAAAGTGGCAGGTTTTTTGCTTGCTTGAAATCTTAGACCCTTTACAGCTCTTGATACTTTGAAATAACAATGATAATGGAATATACTTGGAATATATATTGGAATATATTACTGAAACTTATAGGCTTTACAATTTTTAAGAAGTTCATTTAGGATATTATTTCTGCTCGCTTTGATATAGGTTTTGTTTATAATGTCAGCCCTTATATGGAGTATCATCCTGGCGGAGAAGATGAACTAATGAGAGCAGCAGGATCAGATGGCACTGAACTTTTTGATCAGGTAAGATGTGCTGAAAGTAACCAAAGTATTTCAGTGGAAGAGTACTCTTAGATTTACCAGTGTGACATTTGTAGAAAGAAAGAAAATAGTTTCATAAATTCCAGATGTGTTGGCTTGAATTTTGAAGTGTGGGAAGATGCTCACAGGTAGCAGTTGTTCATTTAATTTGCCTTTGAGTTATTAAAATTTTAGAGATGTTTCACATCTGTGTCTAGGGGTCTTAAGTGTTTGCTGCCTCCTTTGTTGGTAATTATTTATTTAGTCTTGATTAGTTTTCATCATGATTGGCTTGAGGGGGGTAGTGACAGTTGTAAGAAGGAACATTGGGATCCACTGGTAACTTGCTGAATCACTTTAAGTCACTTAGCTTCTTTTATTTTAGTCCTTTGTCACCTAGGGATTGCTATATATTCAGCCTACTACTCTATACTGAATTTGCATTTATGTAGAGTTTGCTGAGGCTGATTAATGAATAGAAACTTATTTTTCCTAGCATGATAGCAGAGATTCTGTGTAGGTTATCTCAAAAGGTATGTAAATTAGTCACTTTTCCTCTTATATTTATTAAAAACTAGCATTATCTCTTAAACTATTTAAAAGTTATACAGAATGTTGATTACTATCAGTTTGCTGAGCTGGTATTCTGAGACAACAATCTTTAGAAAGATAGAAATTTGCCTTTGTCTCATATATGCTTTATTTTGTATTTTAATGATGATTAACCAGGTTATAATATTGGATTTTTATCATTTCAAGATACCTGAATGAGGTTGGGTTATATTATAGCTGTTTTTTGATCAAATATAATTTGATTTCTTTCCTTCCTTCCTTCTCATCCATTTTAGAATTTGATTTTTTTGACCATGTTGCCAGAAATAGAATTTGTTTTATATAGTTGACCTTTGAACAATGTAGGCATTGGGATGCCAACACCCTCACTCTCCCATGCAGTAGAAAATTCATGTGTAACTTTTGACTCACCAAAAACTTAACTACTAACAGCCTCCTGTTGAACAGAAGCCTTGCTTATCACATCAACAGTCAATTAACATATATATATGCATGCTATATGCATTATATACGATATTCTTACAATAAAGTAAGCTAGAGAAAAGAAAATGCTGTTAAGAAAAATCATAAGGACGAGAAAATACATTTACTATTCCTTAAGTGGAAGTGGATTGTTATAAAGGTCTTCATCCTCATCTTCATCTTGAGTAGGCTGAGAAGGAGGAAGGGAAATGGTGGGCGGGGGACAGGGGGGTGGTTGGTCTTTCTGTCCTGAGGTGTCAGAGGACTTGTGCAGTTCAAACCTGTGTTGTTTAAGGGCCCACTGTGTTTCAGAGCACTTAATTGCATTTGCTTAAATGGCAGGATCTAATTTGCTGTTAATGTTCTTCCTGGGTTGGAGAAGTCATGTTTGCTCATTGATCATAACAGCATTCTCTTTGGAGGGTTTTTATTGCTGTTGCAAGGCAAGTTCCCGTTGGCCTTTGCTATTTGTTTTCTGTCTGTCTGCCTGCCTATCTATCTATGAGACAGAGTCTCGCTCAGTCCCCCAGGCTAGAGTGCAGTGACATGATCTTGCCTCACTGCAACCTGTGCCTCCCAGGTTCAAGCAATTCTTGTGCCTCAGTCTCCTGAGTAGCTGAGATTACAGGATTGTGCCACCATGCCTGGCTAATTTTGTATTTTTAGTTCTCTACTAAAAATGGGGTTTCGTCATGTTTGCCAGGCTGGTCTCAAACTCCTGGCCTCAAGTAATCTGCCTGCCTCAGCATCCCAAAGTGCTGGAATTATAGGCTTGATCCACCATGCCTGGCCTGGTATTTGTTATCTAGCAATGCAAGCCAAATAGAAAGGTTTAGGAACATTTGCCTAAAAACTTGTCGGCTATACTTTTTCCTTGAATATGCCTCGTAACCTCTTAATGTTGAAGGTACTGTGCCACAGGAAGAATTTCCAATAAAGACTAGTCTTACTTCTGTTCCTGAGTGTTAAGAAGTTATACAGACCTTATTTATGGAAAGCCTGTTTTGGAGAATTCACAAGAAGTGCTATATTGTTAAGTTTTTTAGCATTTAAAAGAATATTTACTAGATTGCTAGATTTAAAGCAATTAGATTGCAACCCCCTTGGCTTTAATAAGACCAGGGATGTTTAGATTATTTATGACTTGCTCACCACAGAAGTAAACTAGAAACTACAATGACACTTGCATTTTTCAATATGAGAATTTACTTGTGCCCAGTATTTTAGCTGCTCAAATGATAGTAAATAATCTCTTTATTGTCCTATTTCTGTTCTTATACCACTGCTGATCTCTTAAATTGCATTTCCAAATACCTGATGGGCAATTTGATGCCCTGTACTTCAGCTCATTATGCCCTAAAATAATAATACCAAGTCATTTTCTTTCCTCTTTTTTTTTTTTCTGTTTCCTGTTTCTTGTAATGGGAACTTGAAGCCCTGAGTAATGTTTTTCATCTCTTATTGTGCCCTAGTCCAATCACTGGCCGCATCCTATGATCCATCTTTAAACATTACACCTTTTTCTGTCTTCCCACTGCCTTAGTTCACCCTCCGTAGCTGTATTCTTTTAATACTATCTTGATATCTTTACCTTCAGTACCAATTTAGGTAACATGACAGCTAGATTAGCTTTCTTAAAGGCAATCATCTTAGCACCTTGCTCTGCAGTTCTCAGTGGCTCACCACTGACAGGGAAGTAAATTTACAGTCATTAGCCTGGCATTTGCAGTCCTCAAAGAATATATCAGGGTAAATATTCCTAACATGGATCTTGATTTGCACCCTTCCCTGCCTCTGATAGCTATCATTCTGTTCTCTATGCCAGTGAGATCAAATTTTGTAGCTCCTATGAGTGAAAATATTCAGTATTTGTCTTTCTTTGTCTGTGTATTTCACTTAATGTAATGATCTCCAGTTCCTTCCATGTTGCTGCAAGTGACATAGTTTCATTCTTTTTTATGGCCAAATAGTATTCTATTGTATGCATATATTATAGCACATTTTCTTTATCCATTCCTTGTTTGTGGACACTTAGGTGGATTGCATGTCTTTGCTATTGTTAATAGTGCTGCAGTAAATATGCAAATGCAGGTATTTCTTTATATACTGATTTCTTTTTCTTTTTTTAAGTCAGGTTTTACCATGTTGGTCAGGCTGGTCTTGGAACTCCCAACCTCAGGTGATCCAGCTGCCTTGACCTCCGAAGTGCTTGAATTACAGGCGTGAGCCACCACACCCGGCCTGATGTACTGATTTCTTTTCCTTTGGTTAGATACTCAGTATCTAACCAAAGGGTTATATGGTAGTTCTATTAATATTTTAGTTTTTTGAGTAATCTCCATACTATTTTCCATAATTGTTATACTAATTTACATTCCCAACAACAGCGTATGAGTTCCCATTTCTTTACATCCTCACCAGCATCTATTGTTTTTGTTTTTGTTTTTGTTTTTTTCTTCAGTAATAGCCATTCTAACTGGGGTAGGATGATATCTCCTTATGGTTTTGATTTACATGTCCTTGATGATCAGTGATATTGAGCATTTTTTCATATACTCATCAGCTGCTTGTCATCTTTTGAGAATTGTCTATTCATGTTCTTTGCCTACATTTTTCTTTTGAGATAGAGTCTCGCTCCATCACCCAGGCTGGAGTGCAGTGACATGATCTCAGCTCACTGCAACCTCCGCCTCCTGGGTTCAAGCGATTCTCCTGCCTCAGCCTCCTGAGTAGCTGGGACTATAGGTACATGCCACTATGTCTGGCTAATTTTTATATTTTTAGTAGAGACAGGGTTTTACCATGTTGGCCAGGATGTTCTTGATCTCCTGACCTAGTAATCCACCTGCCTTGGCCTCTCAAAGTGCTGGGATTACAGGTGTGAGCCATCATGCCCAGCCTTTTTGCCAACTTTTTAATGGGATTTTTTTTTTTTTGAGTTGTTTGAATTACTTATGTTTTTGGGATATCAGTCCTTGTTAAATAAATAGATTATAGGTATTTTCTCCCCTTCAACATGTTGTCTCTTCACTCTCTTATTTCCTTTGCTGTGTAGAAGCTTTTAAGTTTAATGTAGTTACATTTATCTATTTTTGTGTTAGTTGTCTGTGCCTTTGAGGTCTTAACCATAAAATCTTTGTTTAGACCAATGTCATGAAGTGTTTTTCCGGTATTTTCTTCTAGTGGTTTTTACAGTTTCGGCTCTTATATTTAAGTCTTTAATCCATTTTGAGTTGATTTTTTATATGGTGAAAGATTGGAGCCCATTTTCATTCTTCTGCATATGGACGTTCAATTTTCCCGGCACCATTTATTGAAGAGAAGGGTATCCTTTCCTCAGTGTATGTTCTTGACACCATTGTTGACAATCAGTTGGCTGTAAATACATGGATGTATTTCTGGGTTCTCTCTTCTGTTCTGTTGGTTTATGTGTCTGCTTTCATACCTATACAATGCTGTTTTGTTTACTATAGCCTTGTAATATATTTTGAAATCAGGTAGTATGATGCCTCCATCTTTGTTCATTTTGCTCAGGATTGCTTTGGCTATTCTGGTGGTTTTTTTGGTTCCATATGAATTTTAGGACTTTTTTTTTTCTATTTCTGTGAAAAATAACAGTGGTGTTTTGATAAGGAGTAGACTGATTCTGTATATTGCTTTGGGCTATATGTTCATTCTGATTAATACTAATTCTTCTGATACATGAGCATAGTGTATCTTTCCATTTGTTTGTGTCCTCTTTCTTTCACCACTGTTCTGTAGTTTTACTTGTAGAGATCTTTCATCTCTTTCGTTAGATTTATCTGTAGCTTGCTTTCTTTTCTTTTCCCCTCTCTCCCTCCCCCCCCTCCCCCCTCCCCCCCACCTACCCACCTACCTTCCTTCCTTCCTTCCTTCCTTCCTTCCTTCCTCTCTCTCTCTCTCTCTCTCTCTCTCTCTTTCTTTCTTTCTTTCTTTCTTTCTTTCTT